CCTAAGTCTGGAAAAGTTTTTTTTTTGGCGCTGTCGCGGTGTCGCGCTTTTTTTAGCAGCGTCTGTCAGTGCTCCCGCGGTGAGCTGGAGTTAGAGATGGGTTGCTCCACCACAACCAAAATGCGCGTGAATCTGCACCACACGCGCTTTTTTCACTGAAGCTTTGACAGCTTCTGAGATTGGATCCCACCGCCAACCCCCCGACATGCCGGAGGAAGCAAACACCAGCAATTTCATGCTGTTCGTGCAGTGCACAAGCTGGGTAGTGGTAGATAGATGCAGATGCCACTACAGTGTCAGCCGAAGGTGCTGATCCTCACAAGCGAGATCTCATACCGGGATATCACTGCACTCCTACCAGTCATCAGCAGACCTTATAAATTTGATATGAATCCTTTGCCGGTGGACACTTTGGACAAAACGAGACAAATGATGACATAGTCCTACATCCTGCGCCGCAGGCGCGGAAAAAAATTGGAGGCCTTGTCTGGGGCAGTACGAAGATCCCGAAAACTGGCATGGTGTCACACACAGCGGTTTGCCCAAAGAGTATTCGAGAGCACAAAGACTCCTGATAAGCATGAGTAGACACTGTCCTTCCCTCTTCACAGTTTTGTGTTGGACTCAGTCAGTTTTGATCCCAAACGTGACAACATGCTCGCACCAGCAGCCACATCTTGTGCCCCAGGCGCGGTTTTTTGAAGCAGTCCGTGCCGCAGGTGAGGTAGAAAGATTCTGTCAAGACTTCATGACCAGTACTAATCGCGAGCTACACCCACACGGGTTCACTCCTACGCCCCAGGTACCAGGCCGGAGGAATTCCTCCGGGGCATTTTTCAGCACCTTTTTTTTTTTTGAGGAATTCCTCCGGGTTTTTCCTTAGCGGGAGCACTGCATTGATCTCTCTTGCCCTCAACAGCAGCACAGCCCAGCGGGGACATTAGTAGTGATTTTCCACTGTTTTGCTCCGTGCCTTTTTCGCAAACACGGCGAATGCAGGGCGGCCGGTCCGAATGCCTACCTCTCTGCAGTGGTTTCGTGCGCAAAACGGAAAGAAACGATGCGAAGCCGGGATCTGCATAGTCTCTAAAAGTGCGGATGTACAACAGGAAGACGGCGACGTGTATACCAACTAGACTCACCGATGCTTCATACCGCAGTTGTCCAGACCTGACGGGCGCTGCCAGTGCGGAGAGAAAAAGAGGAAGAACTCCCACAAACCCTCTGTCGACCTGTGTGGCTTTTTCGCCCTTCTTGCCTCCCCTGTTTTCTCGTCTCAGGAAGTACTTTCCGCCCGCACAAAAGTTCGGAACCGTTCTTTTACCAGGAACCAAGCTGGGCTTGGAACCCAAACCCATTGGAACGGACAAACCCAGCCAACCGAAGTCAGACCACGGAAGACAAGACAGACAAGGAACGCGGTTTCACGGGAGCAAAGGTTCGGCGTTCGGCGACTGCAGAACCGCGGTCATAATCCGAACGTCTTTAACAGAGCGCCACAACGTGCCGGAGTTTGGTTTGGCTAGTGGGTTGACACGTCTGCTGGAATACTCAAACGCGCAGCTGAATACTATTTGCATCCAGCACCCACCACGTAACATGAGCCCAGCGAACAGCCATATGCCGTATTGAGCTGCACTCGGCAGTGAGCAGTGAGCCGTACACGCGGCTGCCCTATTATCTTCGTCAACACGGATCACCATTCAATTGACTGCAAGATGCTGCCAGACAACCGCTGGAATGAGCGTTGCAGGACATCGCTTTCCTGCTGTCACCACCGACCAACGCCGATCAACGACCTCAACACACATTTTCTGCGATGTACCCTGTTGGTACGCTAGCATGAGTTCAAAGAACACAGCACTCATCCCCGGCGGTGGACAGGGCATGCGCCGTGCGCACCAGGCACCGCACGAGCTCGTCGGTTCCATCGAAAGCCGCCGTCAGGCGGTAGAGCTGCAGGGCGCCAACGTGCGCGTTATGGCAGGCCGCCTCGAGCTGCTCAGCGAACTCGATTTTGAGGGCGCCCGCCCGCGCCGGCGGCGCGGGGCTCCCGGCCGCCGCCGCCGCCCGCCGACCCGCCGCATGTTTGCCGCCGCCGCCGCCGCGCCGCCGCCGCTGCTGCTGCAGCGGGCGCGCGTTGCCGTCGCGCTGCGGGAGGGCCGCGAGCGGGCGCCGGGCGGCCGGAGCCGGGGCGTCGCGCGGGGGCACCGCCGCGTCGACGAGGCCGACCAGGAGCTCCTGCATCCGGCCCTGCCGCATCTTCAGGCGGTCGAGCACCGCGCCGCCCTCTTCGCGCAAGTCGCGGATTCGGGTGGCGAGCTCGCGGAGCGTCGCCGCGTCGTCCGGCAGGGCATCGTCCGGCATCGGCGCCCCCGGGCACGTGAGGCCGGTCCACCCCCTGCTTATAGATGGTGATTGCTTGCTTGCAATAGCTTTTGATGCACTCTGAGAGTCTGTGCTAGCCTTTGATGAATTCTGATAGCCTACGATAGCCTGTGTTAGCCTGTGTTAGCCTGTGTTAGCCTGTGTTAGCCTGTGTTAGCCTGTGTTAGCCTGTGTTAGCCTGTGCTAGCCTGTGTTAGCCTGTGCTAGCCTGTGCTAGCCTGTGCTAGCCTGTGTTAGCCTGTGTTAGCCTGTGTTAGCCTGTGCTAGCCTGTGCTAGCCTGTGCTAGCCTTTGCTAGCCTTTGCTAGCCTTGTGTTAGCCTTGTGTTAGCCTGTGGTAGCCTGTGGTAGCCTGTGGTAGCCTGTGGTAGCCTGTGGTAGCCTGTGTTAGCCTGTGTTAGCCTGTGTTAGCCTGTGTTAGCCTGTGTTAGCCTGTGTTAGCCTGTGTTAGCCTGTGTTAGCCTGTGTTAGCCTGTGTTAGCCTGTGTTAGCCTGTGTTAGCCTGTGTTAGCCTGTGTTAGCCTGTGTTAGCCTGTGTTAGCCTGTGCTAGCTTGTGCTAGCCTGTGCTAGCCTGTGCTAGCCTGCTAGTGGGGGGTCGTCGTCTCTCGTCTTCGCTTTACCGGCGCTGATGCCTTCCTTGCTGGTGACGGCGTATTGGCGGGGCCGGCTGCAGGGTCAGGTCAAGCTGCGCAGTCCGGTCTGCATGCTGGCAGCCGTGTCACGTTACCATCGAGCGTATGAATGGAACGTACCGTTAGCAAGCTGGTTCAGCGGTAATCAATAGCGCGATTTGGAGAAGGCTCCAATTTTTGCGCTTCCGACAATCCCGTGTGGGAGTGCAGATCAGTTCATTTATTTTCTATTGCCTCTCAGCTTGAAAAAGAAGCGTGAAACCTGGGACCCGGTATTCTTACGTTCGGAAGCCATCAAAACGCAACGAGGCGCGCAAAAAGAAAAAGCGACGAGAACAAGAAGATAAGGCCGCACGATGCAGCAGAATTGAAACAAAGCGGGAAACGCCAAAAGTAAATGAAACGAAAAAGAAAAGATCGACGGGAACGCAAAAAACTATGCCTCGAAATATGCCTTCGCTCTTTCGCTATCCTTTCAAAAACTGTTGCGTTGACGCATCCACACAGAGACCCCTGCTTTTTTTTTTTTTTTTTTTTTTTTTTAAAGCAGGACGACTCCTGGACGAGTTTGGGCCCTCTCTTCAGGTTGTTCTTCTTTTTCACGTGGTATGTCTTGAGTTAGGGATCTCCATGTGAAGCACGGACATGTAAACTGTGACAGTGACATGATCTTCAGTTTGGTGTTGGTTCGCTCATTGCTCAGGCATACATTTTTGCACATTGCAATGTCTCGAAAAAACGAAAAATGGGGATCAAAGTTTAATGTTTAGGCAGAACACTGCCTCTTATTTATGTTGGGAGGGGGGGGGAGAAAAAGAGGAACAACAAAACATCGTTTGCTGAGAGCTCAGAAGTGCAATGTCAAATTACGAATGACAAAAGGGAAGAAAAACACGAAAAGTCCCAGCACCACCTAGCAGCGCACGTAGCGCATAACGATACCCCACACAGATTACCACTACGTACCGGTAGGTCTCACACTAGCTGGGCGTGCGTGGATGGTGATATCGCGCTGTCACCTTATTTCATATTTCACTCGCTATTTTTCGACGCATACTTTGCCCGCTTCTGTCACTCGACTCCACTCGTCGCAAACTCCACCCCCGTAGCACGCATGGTGAGCGTGTAAATGAAGTGCCAAGTTTGCTCCCTTTAGCGTCGAGGCGGAAGGTGCCTTTTCCTTTTCACTTTCCCCGGCGGAGAGATCTTGTGGTATCTTGTCCGTACATGTTTGGCAAGAGCTGTTAGGGTTCTCACACGCTACTTTTTATTCGTGCGCTACCAGCAGCGCTGGGAGTGCCTCGGCTAGAATGGCTGCATGCCATGAGTGATTAGTGATGCCGTGTTCACGCGAGCTGGTGAAAACAGTTCTTCCAGGGAGGGGGTGTAGCTATTTGACTTCGCGACAATGTTGACGGGAAGGGGGAAGGCCTAGCAAACATCTCAAGTGCAAAAGTGCCGTCGGTCCAGACAATGTGACCTCGGCTGTTTTGCGAGAGAAAATGAAGGAGCAAAGCCGATGCCCCTCTGTAGGCCACAGGGAAAGAAGACAAACCCATGACAACAGCACGGGCAATGACTGGCCCTGCGGGAAGCCTCTCAGAGGATGACCTTGGTCTAAATCCGCCTACCTTTGGAGGCTAGCGGGGAGACACGGCACGAATGCCGAAGATTGGTACGGTGTTTCTTTTGTTTGTATGTTTGTAAAGGTTGGCCAGAATTCCGAGGGCGCCTTCCGCATAACACGGCCACGAAGACGAGGGATGCAGCCCTGCTATGGCGCACTGTTTTTGTTGAACGCTTACGCCCGCCACTGAACCCAGATTCACCTGTGTTTCGTGACATTTACCTCCTGCGATCTTTTTCAGCTGGCAGCCTCCTACAAAGCAGGTGCTTATACAAAAAAAAAGGTCGAAGTCTTCTGAGATGGGGTGTTGCGTGACAGTGAAGGAGATTCCCAACCATCACGACAAAACCGCACCAATGATCCTTCCAGAGCCACTAGCGAAAGGGCATAGTGTGGCTCTCATGCGCATGCAAATCTCCCCACTAAGGCAACAAAGAGCTGATACTGCACTTGATAGCGTTTATTGTGGTTTAGAGGTTCTTGATCTTAGCCAAAAGGCCGAGAAGGCAGGGCCTCTCGAAAGGCAGAGGGGAACCTACGGCGGAAGTAACGAAGCTCGCCTGAGTGTCTGGTGAAACCCCTCGTCAATACCATCCAACGGCTGAGACACGCACTGCACAATACCAGGCGCTAGCGTCGGGCAGGAGCAAGCATGGCACAGCTGTGCGCTATCTCAATCATACTGTGAAAAACACATGCGCATGTGCAAGGCCTTGGCTGAGAGATGTTGCCAAAATTGATGTTGGGCACAATATAGAGTGAAATGGAAACCCTGCTGAGCACAGCTGCCTTTGAACGGCCGTTCGCGGCGGTAAACAAAATTTGTGGGGCACCAACCCTGAAGTCCCTCTCAGTCAGGATGAGAGCGCGCATTGTTTTTCGTGTATCGAAACTGAGCTTGAGACAGACGTGAATCGACTGCGTGGAAAATCACCGCCAGGTTCACAGCACCCAGTACTCAGTCATTTAGTTTTGGACTTGTGCTTGTTGAGGCTTCCTTTGTTTCTTGGGTTCTCCTTTTTCTTCCTCGTTGTTTTTGGGTGGGCGGAGTTGGTTTTTGTGCGAAAAAAGTACTTTTGAAGGCAGCGTAAAGCCGCAATTCTTGGGTGCAATTTCTCCTTTGACCGTAGTCCCATCGGGGTGAGCTTTCCTGCAGTGGTAGCCTAGCGGGGTGACCACCTGGTTAGTAGGGTTTTTCGTAGTGCCGGGGGAGGATTAGCCTGCTAGTGGATGATAGTGAATATGCTCGTGAGACTAATCTTCTCCCAAACACGCTGCCAGCGTTCTCTTTCGTGTTTACAATGCCTTGTTACAACGAAAAAAAGACGGGAACTTCGAATCAGTCACAGCTTTTACACGACGTTGCGACATCCGCATCGAAAACGGCGAAAACATGTGCCAATCTTATCAATTCCAGCCTCACGTTAGAAGCTGTTGTAGGGGCGGCCCTTTGATGCAATACCGAAAGGAATATCAACTGGCATACCGTAAACCGCCAAGTCGAATAACAACACCTGAGTTATCATTCGATTCGTCAAATACGAAAAAGAAATATCTCGGCGAGGCATGATGTGTCGAACACGGTGCGCCTCTGAGGGGCTCGTGCTCCGGGCAAGCGTCAAGCCCCAAGGTACGCCACCCTTTGACGTTAGGGCCAATCGGTTCCCGAACAGCTTTCCCCGGTACACTTGTGCTCGCAAAAAAAGGGGAGGTGGCGCTGTTCAACGCCAGATCCGTCCTGAAGTGGAGCTGGTGCAGCCGATCCAGCTGCCCCTCTGTAGAAGAAAACGGACACAGTCCCTGTGCGTCTTTCTATTGTCTTGTTCTCAGCAAAGACGATGGAAAAGAAAAACGAGGGGAGGAAGGGGTGTTGTTGGCGTTCAGAACAGGTCATAGCAATACGATCTGGGTTGGCAAGAAAAACGCCGACGGGCTGGAGGGCCCGAATCGGTAATAGGCACTAGGCACTTCCGGCTCCGCAGACCAATACAAGGTGAACCCCGGGTCAAGGTTTCCGATCTCACTGCTGCCCAGCCGTTTCCACACTTAGCCTGTAACGTCCATCCCCAGGTCCAGCGGGGTGGCACGAATCTGGCGTTTGCGGCACAGTGTCAGCAATTCTGGCGGCGTTCTCCGGGATAGGGCCGAAGCCTTCCTCCTTCTTCTGCCTAAGACGTTTGCCCCGGGTAAGGGTTGAGCTGTGTCTTCCCCTCCCGCTTCGATCCTTGTGGCGATTTTCTACTTTTCCCCCCTTTCGGCCTTGCCGAAATCCCCTGCACAAGGTCGACCTCGAGACCCCGCAGTTTTCTTCTTTTTTTTTTCTCTCTTTTCTGTTTTACTCTGTCGTTATATCTAGGAGCTCTAAGGAACAGTTAAGGAGAACAAGGTCTTCGTTCTTTCACCCACCACCCCCCCCCCGACGACAGCTTATGTGTCGGACTAGTCACCCAAGCGGTTGGCCCTGCTAGGCAGGGGCCTCCACGCTATTCTTTTTTGGAATGAAAGAAGACAAGAACTGTGAAAACTGCTTTTTTCGTTTCGTAATTTTCTTTCTTTTCGTGTTTCCGACGATCCCGTGGGACGTACAGATTTTCTTTTTTTTTTTTGTATAAGCACCTGCTTTGTAGGAAATGCTTGAGGAGACTGCCAATTGCGACAGATCAAAGGAGGTAAATGTGCTGTAGCCCACACGAAACACAGGTAAATCTGGGTATAGTGGCGGGCGTAAGCGTTCAACAAAAAAGACCCACTTTGTAGTTGTATCGTTTTCTCCCCCCTCTAGCCTCCTTCGTAATGAGCACAAGGCAGTCCCTCGAGTATTTCCCGACGACAGCAAGTGTCAGACTAGCCCACCCGAAGGCAGTTGGTTTCTTTAGGCAGGTTTTCTCTACCGGCGGAAGTTGTTTGGGTTAGCATTTTTTTTTTTTTGGTAACCGAGGGGGGGGATGCCATACGCGCGCCCGCAAGCTGGAGTCAAGACTTGTGAGTGTGGGACTATCCTTCTTTCTGCCGGGAGGGTGCTCTTTATTATTTTTGCTTGCGTTTCCGGCTTTTTTTTTTTTTTTCGCGCTAACTTCGCATCATTTCCTGCGAGAAATCGAGTTTTTGAGCAACAGCGATGGCGTTCTGCTGGCTACAGGTAACAAAAGGGAATCGCATCATCTTACGCGATTTATGGCCCTTCTAACAGCGACGACTTTCTGGTGCATGTAAAATTTGTTGCAATAGCTACCATTTCGTGTTGAGACTGGGATCCGCCTTCGCGCACGGAAGATCGACACCCAGTCGAGCTTAACGATCCGCCTTAAAGGGGGGGTAGACCTATTATCCACCGGGTTTTTCTCACTTGGTGTGCTGTTGTTACACACACAGCGGGTGGATAGGCCCACTTCCATAAAAATTTTTCGAGACTGGAGGTCCTATGAACATGCAATGTGAATAGCCTCTATTCGAGCCAACCCGGCTTTTCTTGCAACAATTATGAAACCGTATTGTTTTTGGACTGGATAATATCGCGGATATAACTTTTATCCCGCCTGCCAGTAGGCAGGGGCGTGGCAGAGTGAGCGGGTGACGGCCTTCAGGCCAGTAGGCCTGGGTTCGAATCCCGCCCTTGACATTTTCCGGTCGAAGATTGTTTTCGAGGTTTGTTGCGTTTCGGGGTCAAATGTGCCCGAAAATTGCGTTTTTGCCGGAGTTTCTCAGTATCTCGCGGTATTTGAGCTTGCCATCACAGGCCAAACTTGCTACGAGAACCGAACTTTGCTTCACCAGAACTCAGCTTCGCGCGATTTTTGCTTCGTCCGAACTCAGCTGCCCCCGTACCAGAATTTAGCATCGCCCGAACTTTGCAGCGCCCGAACTTTGCTTCGCCAGAACTTAGCTTCGCCCGAGCGTTGCTTCGCCCGAACTCAGCTGCGCCCGAACTTTGCTTCACCAGAACTTAGCTCCGCCCGAACTTAGCATCACTCGAACTTATTATCGTCTGAACTGAGCTTCACCAGAACTTAGCTGCGCCCGAACTTTTGCTTCGCCGGGGGGCGGCGGGGGGGGCGCCCACCCGGGTACCAGCGCCAAACTTTTCCCGCACTCGGTGGGTCGGGGGGGGTCCGGGGGGGGTGTCCCCCCCCCGGGCACGAGCACCGACCTTGGCTTCACCCGGACTTTACCACCCTGGCCGAACTTCGCTTCGTGCCCGAACTGTTTTTTAGTACCAGCGCAGCCTGAGCGCTTAGCAACGCCCGAACTTAGCACCACTCGAACTTAGCTTCACCAGCATTGCCCGAACTTAGCTTCGCCCGAACTTTACTGTTCCCCGAACTTTAACTGCTGCCTCCAGTCTCGCCACGCGCCGGCCTTAGCCGAGCGCACTTAATAACTCGCCGCGGAAAAATTAAAAAGTTAAATTTATCTCCAAAACCAGTCGACCTATTACCGTAGGATAGTAAGTCTACCCCCCCCTTTAGTTCTTCATGGACGTGCTTCAGCGGGTCGTGGAAGACAGCCACCTCCAGACGCCCGCCGCGTTCGATGCGGTATACAGGTCAGGGCTCACAGCAGGGAGAGTGTGGATAATTGTTTTCTCTCGGGTCCGGTGTGGGCACTTGCTCCGGAGCACAGGCGGAAGGGCTGGATCTGCCGCCAGGCTGGCTCCGCCTGCAGCGACGCTCGGCGCGCACTCGACCGGCAGGGGTAAGGCGGGCACCTGTTGAGAAAATGTGGTGCCCATTTGCGTGCTAACAGACCAGGGGCACCCCGGGACGATGGGACGGGACGGCAAAAATACTCGAGGGACTGCCTTGTGCCCATTGCGAAGGAGGCTAGAGGACAAAAGACAATACAACTGCAAAGTGGTCTTTGTACCCGCAACTGAAACCAGATTTACCTGTGTTTCGTGTGGGCCACAGCACATTTACCTCCTTTGAGATTGGAATATTGTTGCGATAGTGGGGTGTGCCTGCCTTGCGCTACGTGACGCCGGACGGGTCACTCTTGGCGCGCTTCCGTCGTGGTGCAACCCGCGACGGTTGCAACTGCTGCTGGTAGCTTGTGACAATGACAGATCCGGAATCGGAGACCTCGTTCTCTCGCTTCCGGCGAGCGGCACGGCGAGATGCGGCAGTCGCCGTTGAGGGGCCGCAGTTACCTCCTTTGGGATTTCGCAAGTGGCAGTCTCCTCAAGTATTTTCTACAAAGCAGGTGCTTATACAAAAAGAAAAACAAAGTAGAAGCACGACGACGATGCCGTGCCGACACGGACACACCAACCGAGACCAGCCAATCAGGAAACCTCCAAGGACAGGGGAACCTTCGGCGGTGATATAACGAACTCGGTCGTGTGCCCGGCGACACTCCTCGTCGATGCAATCCAACGGCTGTGACACGCATTGCACAACCCGGGCGCTGGCGTCCGGCAGCAGGCAGGAAACAGCCGTATCTCAAAGATGAGACGAAAGGGCGTCGGTCCAACTACTCTGTCGAAGAACAAAACCACCAAACGCGACAAGAGG